AAGTCGGAGACAAAGGCAGCAAACTGTCGGGCGGGCAGAAGCAGCGCATTGCTATTGCACGCGCACTCATCAGAAATCCAAAGATATTGATACTTGACGAAGCAACAAGTGCACTCGACACCGCATCAGAAGAAATAGTCCAAGATGCACTCGACAAAGCATCTGTTGGAAGAACTACAATTGTCATTGCACACAGACTGTCAACTGTCAGAAACGCATCAAAAATCATCGTCGTGAAAGATGGGAAGGTCGCAGAACAAGGCACACACGACGAGCTGATTGCTCTCAACTCACTCTACGCAGCTATGGTAAAACAACAGCAGATGAGTGACTGAATTTATTAATCCATTTTTAATTAAGAAGTTACTAGTATATATATTATAAAATATAAGATTTATTAATACAATGTAATATAGTATTTATTAACTATTTTATAACAAACTCATAATCACCACAAGATATGGTATTCTTATGGTTCACATTACTAATAATATCTCATGCTGAAGTTGAAGAGCTTTCTGTTGATGATTTGGAAAGATATATGGACCATAGTCAAATTACTATTGTCAAGTACTATCTCCCTACATGTCCAGCTTGCAAGATGTTTGGTCCAAAATACTCTGAAGCCTCCGAATTCTTCAAACATAACGAAATCAAGTTTGGCCAGTTCAATTGTGCACCACAGGAAAGAACCGCCATATGTCGAAAGGAAATCTATCAAACATTTCCCACTGTTAAGATATACTTAGAGAGAGTGAACAAGAGTGTTTTGTTCGAGAAGGACTCGCCGAAAGAAATTGTTGATTTTGTCCTCGATAATTTGGTCGCCCCAAAGACACCAAAAGTCGTCAATTTGACATCTTCAAACTTTGACAAAATTGTCTTCGACAAGACTCAAACGGTTTTTGTCTTGTTTTATATGAATTGGTGCTCCCATTGTCAAGCCTTTCAACCCAAATTTGAAGAGTTAAGTGGCGTGTTTTCCAACGTCAAAGATTTGGTGTTTGGGCAAGTCGACTGCGAGGAACAAATCGACATTTGCAAAAAGTTTCTTGTTCTTGACTTCCCAAATCTCGTCTTTTTCGACAAGAAGAATAAGGAAACTACTTACAGTCCATCGAAGAGTAAAGAAGTCGTCGCACTCACACAGTTCATTAACAAAAAATTTAACTACACCGTCAACTACATCAGTGCAAAGTACAACGTTACACGCGGAAGGTCTAAAGAACTCGACGTCTTTGCTAAAGACTTTTTGAGCAAAGACAACCAAAACGAGATCATTGAGAAAGTCGAGAAATTGGAAGGTGGTGAAATCTATGTCAATATCATGAAACGGCTCCAAAAGGAGGGTAACGGGTATATAGAAAAGGAAAACGAAAGAATTATTAAACTTATCAATGACAACCAAATCCAACTCAAACAACTCGAGAAACTCCAAATAAAGTTCGCTGTCCTCCAAGCGTTCTAATTGAGTGTTTATTATAAATTATATATTATTTTATTATAATTTATCTATTGTCGAGATAGACACTAATAAAATTGTAACTTTTTATAAGAGTATAATTAACCAATTCAAATAATTTGTTTTATAATAAAATAACGTTTAAAATTTTATTCAATTAAATCCAAAACTTTTTTAAAAATTTAATTATTTGTACATTAATTCATAAAATAACAAACAAAATAGTAAAAAAAACTATAATTAAATAACAATTATAGATTAAATGTTAATTCATTACATATTTGGTTCTTCACATGCTTCACTGAGGCGGAGTTGCTCTTTAAGGCCTAAGCTGAGTTCAACCTCATCTTTGATTTCTTTTGTTTCATCTTTTTGTGGAGAAGAAGCTCTACGTTTATTGCTTTTCAAATTGTCGACAAATGTGGAGATCCATTGGTCGCATTTGTTGATTGCGGACGAAACGTTTAGTTTGTTGTTGACATACTTAAAACAGTTAACCACATGCTCAACTGGTTTGATTCTGTTGTTCAAATCTTCTGCCTTGCTAAGTGCAAGGATGTAACACAGTACACAGTATTCTGTGAAGTGAGTCTTATCATCAATAGTCTTCAGCTTTTCAACAACCTCGTCGAGAAACGCGACTTTTTCTTCCTCTTCAACAACCGGTTCTGGCATTTTGTCGACAATAACATTCACCCCACCCAAAAGAGCCCCATTGAGGAGGAGAGACTTCTCGACTGATTCACGAGAATCGTACTCAATAACAACGAAGGTGTTGTCTTCCGAGGATTCAATGTTTTTTATGTGCCCAGCCAGTCCGAAGAGCACAGCGATGGACTCGGTGTTGACGTTTCCTTTGAACCCGGAGACGATGATTGAGTTGATGTGGTTCTGTGTTTCCATTGATTATTCCTCCAG